TGTTTTCAGTTTAGACTTGTTTATATTTTTTCGTTTGGGCTTGTATTATATTTGCCTTCGGGTTTATATGATCCGTTCATCCAATTTTGACTCTTTCAAAATTCAAGAGTCTGTCCTAAATTGAGGTAAATTATATGGCCTTCCAAATACCGTTTCGATTCCTAACATCACTGAAGAGACATTAATTGTCGAAATCCGGATATGGTGTACAAATTTTTGCACCTCGTGTTTGCGGTATACCATCTTTTCCGCAAGTTTATTGTTTTCTGTTTGGTAATAAATAATTAAAAGATCTATTTTGTTACATCTTGTGATCCGTTCATTTGGCAATCGCCAATGGTAGTCAGCAGGGTTTAAGAACATCAGTTGTTCGACCTGCTAGTCAAATGCGTTTTGTTAAAATATACTTTTTCACTCATTTGGTCTTTTGGAAAATGTTGTTTGTGCTGTATTTATACCCCTCTACCAAGAAATTTGTTTTGCATGCACACGTATAAAAATTGCGGTTTTTATCCAACGCAATCATAGGGTTGAACGTTGTTTTCAATTTAGACTTGTAAAAATATATATATATATAGACATTTAAATTAAAACCCATTTGTAGCCGAGAGGTGTCGTCGAAGCGTTTATGCCAGTCTCACATATCAGATTTCAGGGAGGTTCAATTTCCAGTGATGGCATATACAAATTACAAAAATTAAGAGTAAGTTTTTAAATTAATTCTATTAGTGAACAGAAATCAGTAAATTAGCCAATTCAAACTTAATGAAATAAGGCACACAAAGGAAACAATTGAATATACTTTGGTGAGTCCATTTAAGTGACAGATTTAAGAAGCGTTATTTTAAGAAAAAAGAATCCACGGTAAATGAATAGGCTGACGGACGACAAAGGTTTAAATATAAAAAAAGGCGAAAAAAGCAAGAGAGAGAATCGAAATCGACAATGACGAAAAGACAAACAATAGTATACAAAACTCCAAATAACAATTGAATGATATAAATAAAAGTTAGATATAGACAAAGGTTATAACTTAACGATCATCTTTTCGTTAGATCTAGCATCAGTCTGAAGAGCAACAGCAAATGAACAAGTCCTGTGAAGCAATACCATAGACACATATCATGCATATATATCGACAACTTTCAATGTGATTGCACCTGAGGCAGGATTCTTAAAAACGATCAGTTTGAATACGCCTTGTTAGCAATAACATTATATTGAAAAGCATTTATCCTTTTGAAAAATAAGAATTCATATATTTTACACAACATGTTTGTCTTTGCTTATTCATTAAAACACATTTTCTTAACTTAATGTTCAACTTAAAATATTAAATATATTATTCAAGGCATATAAACACATTAAATTAATAACCGTGAAAAATATAACCAAGTAAACAAAAATAAGTTCAAATAAAAAAATTAGAAAATCAAGCATCAAAGTGAAAGGCAGTCTGTTTAATAGAAATGATAGGTATATTCGTTGTTGGTGTTACTTCGAATTTTTAGATTTTGTAGTGCGGAAAAAAAAAGTATTCATTTTCTCCAATATAACCATTCAAACTGAAGTTGGATCCTCAATTTATAGCTGGTCCTTCATTTATCATAAGTTGATACAGATAATTATTTATTCACTTGATTTGATTAATAGGAGAGTCTATCATTCACATTTCTACAAAACCAAAATCACATTGCCCAATATTACCTCTGAAGAGTTGAATTGTTACCCTACTCTATAATAGCGGAATAGAGGGTCATTGTTAAAATAGTATTTCGTTTACAATCCGGTTTTTTCCGCACCTTTTTTCTAAACACTAGAAAGATACAAGGCTTATAATTTGGTACACCAGACACGCATTTCGCCTAAATTAACTTAATATATATCAAAATTTTTCTTGCTTTCAGAATTATTTTCTTAAAATCTGTTTCATGATTTAAAGACAAAATACTTGCTCATAAATATATTATAAACATAAATAGAAAATGTCAAAAAATGTCATTAATTCCTCTGTACAAATGCTGTATGCTCATAGTTCTTGATCATTGTGATATGCCGATGGTGCACATGTAATCTCAATTAACATCATTGAACATAGTTGTTTCACATTGTACAAGCCGTACTTCAAGTTGTATTTCTTGACTAGATACTTTTTTTTAGTTTAAATAACCATTATTGATATCGGTCTTATTGATATCTTCAAGATAGTTTATTCTTCATAGATAATAGCTGTTGTTTTAGATATTGGACATCTGTAATGTTGCTTGATTTTTTTCTGCGGTTTTATTTCAACCATCTTATGGTCTTGGCTCTTGGGGGAGGCTTGAAGCATTTTCATATATGTAAAAAGTAAAATCACAAAAATACTGAACTCCGAAGAAAGTTAAATCGGAAAGTCCCTAATCACATGGCAAAATCAAATGACAAAACACATCAAACGAATGGACAACAACTGTCGTTTGGTACAGGCATTTTCAAATGTAGAAAATGGTGGATTGAACCTGGTTTTATAGCGCCAAACCTCTCACTTGTACGACAGTCGCATCAAATTTAATAATATTGATAATGATGCGTGAACAAACAGACACAATTGGTAAAAATGTCACAAATAAAGGTAAAACGTCTAATTCGATAGGTCACATTCGTAAAAAGGGAACGGGATTGTAGTTACCACATAAGGAACATATCCGATATCATTTATATAACAGATATTCCATAACGGTCAACCAACTCGTGATGGCGTCCGTAAAGTTTACGAATTGATGATTTCAGCTTCCCAATGCTTCACTATTGGGAAGCTGAAATCATCTCTTTTGTCGTAAAGTTTTGTTTTCAACCGACCCTCATAGTCAATTTATAGATATAAATCCTAATCAAGTGGCAAAATCAAGAGCTCAAACACATCAAACGAAGGGATAACAACTGTCGTATTCCTGACTTGGTACAGGCATTTCCTATGTAGAAAATGGTGGATTGAACCTGGTTTTATAGCGCTAAACCTCTCACTTGTACGACAGTCTCATCAAATCCCGTTATATTTACAACGATGCGTGAACAAAACAGACATAATAAATAAAATAATCAAAATATGGGTACAGCAGTCATCACTGTGTTACAATATCAAAACAAACAATCATTTACAAAAAAGCACAAAAGCATCTATCAAATTAAAAACCACATTCATTGCTTCGCGTGTCTGACGTCAGAAAATGTAAACGTCACGTAAAACATATATAGTAATCATTCATGTTCTTTACTTGTGCTACTATCTTTTTTTCTCTGTGAGCATGCATGATCTGTCGGTCGATCTGTATGACTGTGTGTCTTTCTGCCTGTGTGTATGTCGGTAACAAGATGCAGAACAGAAAAAACAAATACAACCAATCTTATTTGAAACCGAAACTATTCACCTTATAATTAATTATGCACCAAAATACCAGCAATTTTAGAGATAACTGTATTGAAATTGAAGCTTTGCGGACGTCCATCGGTAGTTTTACTGTTGCAAATTTAGTTTACCTGGCGACGCGGAGCGGAGACAGGTAAACGGAAATTTGCGACAATAAAACTACCGATGGACGTCCGCAAAGCATCAAATACAGTTATCTCTATTCTAATGCAAAAAAAAACAAATCATTCAATTTTAGTCATTATTTCAGTGCAAAATTTTCATTAAACGAAAATTCCGCGAAATGATGTTATCTTCTTTGACGTCATAGGTATGCTTCCGGCATCAAACGTAAACACTGGGCGTTTTCTGGCTTCTTGTCAGCTTCAAAATGTAATAAAATATGATAAAAAGAAGATTTCTAGGTGCAAAATGTGAGTTTTTTTTTGTTTATTATTGAAAAAATTACATGTCAATACATTCAGGAATTCAAAATGTCGGCTTCCTTAGTTACAGACAGGGTGATAGGGAATTTTACGCTTATTGTCATCCAATCAGAACCATTGATACAAAATAATTGCATTAGAATTCTTATTTCATGTAATTATAGTGCCATTTTAAGGTGATTTGTTTTTAGCAATTTGGTAAGAGATACAAATGTTGACGATGTTTTCATCACAATACAAAATGCACAATAGAATAGATAGAAATAGACCAATTTTTAATCTGCTATGGAGTTCATAATATTTTGTTAAAAAATACATTTGTACGTTAAAAAAACACTGAATCATCAACATAAAATGTTTTGCACTAAGTTGTTATATGCTTTCAAGTAAAATGTTTGTTATACATTTAGTGAATGATTTAGGCGCAATGCGCGTCTGGTGTACTACATTATACGTCTGGTATATTTTTAATTTGTTTTTTGAGAATTTGGGGAAACAACAGCTGACGGTAAACGAAATTTCATTTTAACAATCACTCTCCACTCCGCTCTTATGTGGTTTGGTAGCAATTCCTATCCTTACCGATATTATTGGATAATGTAATTTTCAGGAAATTTGAATGATGAATTCTCCGAGTAAGTGAAAAATATTAAAAGAAAAATAAATGAATACATGAATGTCTGCACCCACTAATGTAAAGTGTAGGACAAGCAATAAATCAAATATCAAACTTCAGTTTGAATACTTATATTGTAACAAATGAACCCTCTTGACCAAATCAAAAGTAACAACAATAAAGCATTTACACTTATCAGACTGCCTTCGTTTCTCTTTGATGCTTTAATTTTTAATGTTGTACCTTTTGATTTTTTTTTTGTTTACTTTGATGCTTTAATTTTTAATGTTGTACCTTTTGATTTGCTTGTTTACTTTGTTATAATGGTCGCGGCAATGCATTTTATATGTTTAAATGCTGTGTATAATTCATTTAATATTATTAAACGAAAATCAAATTGAGAAAAATGTGTTCTTATTAAATAATCAAAGAGAAACATGTTGCTTAAAATATAAAAATTCTTTTATTTGAAAAGGATAAATGTTTTACAAAAGAATCTTATTAATAAATTGCAGCATTCAAACTGATCATTTAGAAGTATTCTGCATTGAACGAAGTCACGTTGAAAGATGTTAATATATATGGGCCTATGGTATTGGCTAGTAGCGCTAGTTGTTCTTCAATCTGATGCTAGATATACGGAAAAGATACTCGGTAAGTTCTAACCTTTCTATATATATCAAACTTTCATGTCATATCATCAAATATTTAAGTCGAGTTTCTGAGATTTACTCGGTCTTTCTCAGCCTTTAGTTTTTTATGTAGTGTTAAGTAGACTATTGTTTGACTTTTTGTCGTTTGTCGCTTTTTGACATGATTTTGTCTTATGTGTTTTGATTCTACCTTTGATATTTTTCACTTCTTATATATATATATATATAAAAACAAGGCCTTTTATCTGTATCAATGAAAAAGATAGGCGAAAGATACTAAAAGGAAATTCAAACTCATCAGTCGAAAATAAATTGACATCGCCATGGGAAATAAAATAAAAACAAAACGACAAACAACAGTATACAAAACACAACATAGTAAACTAAAGACAGAGCAACTCGAACCCTACCAAAAACCAGGGGCGATCTCAGGTGTTGAGGAAGGGTAATTATATCCTATTCCACATGTAGCACCCGTTAAGCATTGTTACTCCGAGGCGGGTGAGGAGCAAGAAGGTGAACTGTGGTTTATTTTTATCTTTTGTACCGCTTAAGTCGACGCTAAGGGCTGTCTTGACCTTGTTGTAGGGTATGAATGATTCGTTCATTGTTGAAGACCCTACATCAACTGTCAAGATGAAGAACAGGAATAAAAGCCCTGTTCATTGATAATTTTCTATGTTTTCTATGTATTGTGTGCGATTTTGTCCCATGTACATTTACTCCATATCCTTTCATTTTCTATTGATTCTACAGTTTTTCTCTAGTGCTGTGTGGAGGCAGTAGAACGTTTCCCCGTGCTTGAGGTGTATGCTCTTATAATATTTACAGTTATGGTGTGCTTGTTCATGTGAGAATTTCTCAAATTAATACACCGTCAAAATTTCATGTTTGGTTAAATTTCTTCAAAATACTGGTCTGGTCATCTGTTTTGTATATTGCCCTTTCATACTATTTTAAACTGCTAGGTTTTCTTACATATATTTCGATGTGCCCGTGCTGTCTATCATTTGTTTTTTAGTTTTATATGTATTGTCTATCATTTGTTGTTTCGAAATTATTGGTCTTTTGTTGGGCAACGTATGACAAATATATGTTGAAAAACCTCGCCCGTAATTATAAATTATGTAATTCATTGACCGCACCCGAGATGTGTTACTTCAAGGCATATTTTAGCGGCGATCGATGTCTTTCACAATTACTACACTTTTCTTGTATCCCTAGAGCTTTCGACTGGAGAACCGTCGTACACAAGCATCGCACAAGTTTGCGTTCCGAGACGGGTGGGAGAAAGAAGGTGAACTGTGATTTATTTTTATCAATAGTACCGCTTAAGTCGACGCTAGGGGCCGTCTTGACCTTGTTGTAGGGTATGAATGATTCGTTCATTGTTGAAGACCCTACATCAACTGTCAAGATGAAGAACAGGAATAAAAGCCCTGTTCATTGATAATTTTCTATGTTTTCTATGTATTTTGTGCGATTTTGTCCCATGTACATTTACTCCATATCCTTTCATTTTCTATTACTTTCTATTTATTTGTATTACTAAACCCTGTCATTATAAAATTTGATGAAACATTAAACAATTTAAACATTAATGAGTTTCAATAACGACAAATCCTATATCTTTTTTTTAATTCATTAACGTACATGCAAAAGTTTTAAAACTTAATCTCAATGTTAATATAAGATTGTGAGGAAGATTCTTTTTATACAAACTAAGGAGATGTGGCATGATTGCCATTGAGACAACAATAAAATACAAACGACGTGTATTTTAGCAACAACTTTATATCACCATACGGCCTTCAACAATGACAAAAGACCATATTGTACAGTTAGCTATAAACGGCCCCGATATGACAAAATATTGTTTTTCAAATTAATTGAATGACACAAACATATGAAACAAATATTTTATTTGCTTAATATCTACTTATTTTGGGTTTATAAAAAACAAAGAACTTTGTATTTGATTTTTTAATTCACAATTCGAATGAAACATATATAAGTTTATATAAAAAAAAAAATCAAATGAATTTTTTAGTTGAATAGTTTTAAATGGTGTTACACTCAACTCAAGACAAGTTTAGATTTGAGTATGAATATTAATAGAGACAATAATAACGTTCGATTATGTAGTTAGGCAAATATCACAATCAAAAGTTTGCTGTCTAATCATAAATCAATGTTTCGAACCGGGGAAACGGCAAAAAATTGAATTTACATTCATGTCTGATAATTATTTTTTAGATTCTTTCGATGAATAATATCTTTATTGAAAATTGCATACACGCAGGTCCAAAATTAAATTATGACCATTTTTGTGACTTGTATATATATCTCTTTATTTTTACTTTTATCTTTGCAAATATGTACATGTATACATTTATCCTTTTAACGTTAACCTTTTAAACAGGAATATCGTCAATATAATGAAACCATAAACAAGTTTAATTCATTTGAATAATTTGAAAAAAGATTTGTTTCTCCAAGTTAAAACTCTCTATTCAAACTGTGAATTCAATAATGATTGAATGCTGTTATTTACAACTGTTGTACAATGGACAAACACGCGAGATAAATCATTTTAATTTTCGGAAACGCTGCATACACAAAATTTAATACAAGTATGCGAGTTTTGATTTTTGGGATGTCTTTCACGTTGAAATATTCGTGATTGTAAAGCATCGCAAACAATTATTAATTATGAATTTATCAATTTCAATATTTTCATATATTTAATATAAAGTAAATATTGTCATAAATTTATATACGTAGGGGAGACTGACGATACGCTTTATCAAATATTTCTTTTAAATTCATTCGTAGAAAAAAATCGCATTCTGTCGCACAACATATTAATTCAACTGATCACTCCGTTTTTGGTGGGGTTCGTGTTGCTTAGTCTTTTGTTTTCTATGTTGTGTCATCTGTACTATTATTTGTCTGATTGTCTTTTTATTTTTGGCCATGACGTTGTCAGTTTGTTTTCGATCTATGAGTTTGACTGTCCCTCTGGTATCTTTCGTCCCTCTTTCATTGCTTCGCGTGTCTGACGTCAGAAAATGTAAACGTCACATAAGAAGAAATTTTGTCATTCAATGATTATTCAAAACAATTTTATAATTTCACATGTGCAATGTTGGTATACAGGGTTAAAAAATCAAAAGTTATGTTAGAATTAATTTCAGAAATAGACCGAGATTTAAAATTGTCCAGAAGTTCTTTAGAATTTTTAAGAATCCACATATGGTTAATACCACTACAGGAGTAAAATAAATTTGTCGTTTGTCGTTCAAAGTATTTTCAAATTTTCAATAGAACAATAATACAATGACATATAATAGAACAATAACATAATGACGGGATCTTTTAAAGTACAGAGTCACGTTATAAGAACTACAGAAACACAAAAAGTCGCATATACAAAACACACCAGCAAAAATGAAAGATAATACAAACACATTGACGGAATGTATAAGTACCTAGCCACGTCAAATGGATATCACAGAAAACAAACCAAACAGTAAAAGTAATATTAATAATAGAACAAAGACAAATGAAAGAACAATATTACACGTTGTTAAGATGATAAACAACGTCAGTATGCAGAATCTATACTTCAAGACCATCATGTATTATTTGTGAAGTTGATACGGAATATTTATCAACAAGGTCTTGGTTCCTTCCGATGAACCTTTTTTAGAAAAAGGACGAGACGTTCTTTGACATACCCCTGGTGCATCAACTTTCTGCTCAGACGCTGGTGACGTTTTACAAAGATTATGCAATAGTTGTTCTTGAAAATTTATACATACATTTTTACAATACATACCGAGATACCATTGAGGATATTTGGAATAACAATTGTTCTGCTGTAGGTCTAACAGTCAGCGAGGGTACCTTCTGATTAAGCGATATATGTTATTGGTAAATTTCCGTTTTCATAATATTTATAAAATTGTGCTGCAACTTAAATCCAAACGTCCTCAGGTAAAGTTGACCTTAAACTGTGTTGGTTTTTCAATTTGGATCATTTCTGTAATGTTGTTTATCGTGTTAAAACATGCTAGCTCTTTTATCTTTTGGTCACTGCTTACCTGATCTCGGTTATTCCAAAAAGACGTGTAGTGTACATGCTTACAAATAATTAAGCTTTGAGCTGTTTTCTGCTCTTTGTCGAGTTGTTGTCTCTTTGACACATTCTCCGTTTCAATTTTCTATTCTATAACAAATAATAAACAGATTGACGCATCGTTGTAAATATAACGGAATTTGATAAGACTGTCGTACAAGTGAGAGGTTTAGCGCTATAAAACCAGGTTCAATCCACCATTTTCTACATTTGAAAATGCCTGTACCAAGTCAGGAATATGACAGTTGTTGTCCATTCGTTTGATGTGTTTTGTCATTTGATTTTGCCATGCGATTAGGGACTTTCCGATTGAATTTTCCTCAGAGTTCGGTATTTTTGTGATTTTACCTTTTTTTTTATATTTATTTTATATTTAGGGTTTTAATTTATATCATGTCATCTTTTATTTTTACAGGCAAACTTTCCGGACAACAAGTTGCAAATGAGGTTTGGTCTTTTCGTAGTTAATCGTGTTTTTTTCTTAAACATATACATTTGTCTTTTCTGTTGTCAAGCGATACCAACTCGTTTTGGTCCTGAACGCTTGAATACGATTTCACTCGAGAGAAACTGAATCTGATATGTAATGAAAGCAATACAATTGATACATAAATACATACATTCTGCATTTAACGGTTTTACTAAACAATCAACAAAGATACTAGGCTTATAACTTTTAACACCAGTCACACGTTTCGTCTACAAATGACTAACCAGTAACGTTCAAATAAAAAAGTTTAAAGCCTACAAAAGTACAAAGTTGAACAGCATGAATGGCATAGGATTCCGAAAGGTTTTGCCAAATACAGCTAATGTATTTTATGTCCTGAGTAGAAAATAAAAGATGCACACAAATATAAATAAAGCATGCCGATGAGAGCGGACAAGAAAGTTTTTGCAGAGAATCCTTTAACATCATTGAAAGTGTTTCGTCAAAATGGTTTCATGGATAATTGTATTATCCTTACATCGCATATTTTAAGTTTTAGATTATTATTGTTTTTTTTGAGGAAAGTTTCTGCAGATCTTTTCAGGTTCGTTTGAGACATGTGGTCAGATGGCATTAGTAGTTTCTCTGTGGGAAACTATCAGACCAATCTATTTGATGTCTGATTGATTTAGCTGTTCCCCTTATTGATCGGTAGTTTCTTTCCGAGATCCTGTATCGAAGGATTATCGGCTTTCCTCTACAAATAATACAGCTGGGCATTTAGCGGTATGGGTTTGGAATTCAAGTATGTCCTTACCGGTTTCCCGGCATTTGGGCGGCATCCGGGGTGACCATATTTCTCATTTTGTACATATTTTGCACGTTTTATATTGTGAGGATGAGAAAATCAGGCGAGTGGGTGTGTTCGTATGTTTTATTGCATTATATTTATTTATGTTTTGGGGAAGGTTAACTTTCTGGAAGTAAGTCCCGTCACGGCTAGGCTGGAGAACTGGGTAGGCCAATGCTCACATTAAATTTGTGCCGATACAGTGCGCTAAATGTCGTTCTTTACACCATAACTCATGGTGGTGCATCTAATGAAAGGTCGCTTAAACGTAGCATACATACATATACAAAAACCAATATAGTTTAACGGGTATCCTGCTTCCATAATGACAGTATGGGATTAAATTTTTACGAAGAAAAAAATATTTATCCTAGAAAATTACATACATTGTAAGAAAAGATTTTAGAAGCTTAACCCTTTTCTTAAGTTCAGTTCATTCTTATTTTCGTGATGGTTGTTAAAAATGTTTTTTCGGACGATCTCTACGAACAGAAAAAAAATTACATTCCAAGAACACTTGAAAAAAATGAGATGGAGTTTGAAAAGTTAAAATTATAAAATGGGTGATTATGATAATATCGCAGCCTTACACAATATGAAAACATCAAGTTGCTCTAACAGAAAACTTGCAAATAGCACATTGTGCATTACATCCAATTAAATAATTGAAACGTTAAAGAAGAAAAATCTCAACTTGATTATAGTAAATTGCAATGCAATATTCATTTAACAACATTATCGTTCAATTTACCGTTTTTGTTTGTAAAACTGTACATCAAAACATTTGGTAAGCTAACAACGGCATAAATAAAAGACATCTAATCAATGTAATGTAACTTTCATGCTTGGTTATGATCAATGTAATGTAACTTTCATGCTTGGTTATGATCAATGCAATGTAACTTTCATGCTTGGTTATGATCAATGTAATGTAACTTTCATGCTTGGTTATGATCAATGTAATGTAACTTTCATGCTTGGTTATGATCAATGTAATGTAACTTTCATGCTTGGTTATGATCAATGTAATGTAACTCTCATGCTTGGTTATGATCAATGTAATGTAACTTTCATGCTTGGTTATGATCAATGTAATGTAACTTTCATGCTTGGTTATGATCAATGTAATGTAACGTTCATGCTTGGTTATGATCAATGTAATGACCTACAAACCTTTAGATTCCGAAGTGGTGAATCATGATAGGCATCTGCAATCTCCGGCACAGAGTTCATATCCGTTCCGTACATGCTCCGCAATACTACACTTAATATGACGAGGTCATATTGAGTGTAGTGTTACGAAGTATTGAACGGAACGGATATGATCTCTGCGCCGGAGATTAAGGCATCTGATTATACTGTTGAAAATATTGAAGCCTGGTTTTAATTATTTTAGTACCCACATCTGATTCACACCGCCGCTAGAGTACTAGGTAGTTTCACATTAACTCTGATGCCTGGTTTTAATTATTTTAATACCCACATCTGATTCACACCGCCGCTAGAGTACTAGGTAGTTTCACATTAACTCTGATGCCTGGTTTTAATTATTTTAGTACCCACATCTGATTCACACCGCCGCTAGAGTACTAGGTAGTTTCACATTAACTCTGATGCCTGGTTTTAATTATTTTAGTACCCACATCTGATTCACACCGCCGCTAGAGTACTAGGTAGTTTCACATTAACTCTGATGCCTGGTTTTAATTATTTTAGAATCCACATCTGATTCACACCGCCGCTAGAGTACTAGGTAGTTTCACATTAACTCTGATGCCTGGTTTTAGTTATTTTAGTACCCACATCTGATTCACACCGCCGCTAGAGTACTAGGTAGTTTCACATTAACTCTGATGCCTGGTTTTAATTATTTTAGAATCCACATCTGATTCACACCGCCGCTAGAGTACTAGGTAGTTTCACATTAACTCTGATGCCTGGTTTTAATTATTTTAGTACCCACATCTGATTCACACCGCCGCTAGAGTACTAGGTAGTTTCACATTAACTCTGATGCCTGGTTTTAATTATTTTAGAATCCATATCTGATTCACACCGCCGCTAGAGTACTAGGTAGTTTCACATTAACTCTGATGCCTGGTTTTAATTATTTTAGTACCCACATCTGATTCACACCGCCGCTAGAGTACTAGGTAGTTTCACATTAACTCTGATGCCTGGTTTTAATTATTTTAGAATCCACATTTATTCATACCACCGCCTAGAGTACTAGGTAGTTTCACATTAACTCTGATGCCTGGTTTTGATTATTTTAGTACCCACATCTGATTCACACCGCCGCTAGAGTACTAGGTAGTTTCACATTAACTCTGATGCCTGGTTTTAATTATTTTAGTACCCACATCTGATTCACACCGCCGCTAGAGTACTAGGTAGTTTCACATTAACTCTGATGCCTGGTTTTGATTATTTTAGTACCCACATCTGATTCACACCGCCTCTAGAGTACTAGGTAGTTTCACATTAACTCTGATGCCTGGTTTTGATTATTTTAGTACCCACATCTGATTCACACCGCCGCTAGAGTACTAGGTAGTTTCACATTAACTCTGATGCCTGGTTTTGATTATTTTAGTACCCACATCTGATTCACACCGCCGCTAGAGTACTAGGTAGTTTCACATTAACGCTGATGCCTGGTTTTGATTATTTTAGTACCCACATCTGATTCACACCGCCGCTAGAGTACTAGGTAGTTTCACATTAACTCTGATGCCTGGTTTTGATTATTTTAGTACCCACATCTGATTCACACCGCCGCTAGAGTACTAGGTAGTTTCACATTAACTCTGATGCCTGGTTTTGATTATTTTAGTACCCACATCTGATTCACACCGCCGCTAGAGTACTAGGTAGTTTCACATTAACTCTGATGCCTGGTTTTGATTATTTTAGTACCCACATCTGATTCACACCGCCGCTAGAGTACTAGGTAGTTTCACATTAACTCTGATGCCTGGTTTTGATTATTTTAGTACCCACATCTGATTCACACCGCCGCTAGAGTACTAGGTAGTTTCACATTAACTCTGATGCCTGGTTTTGATTATTTTAGTACCCACATCTGATTCACACCGCCGCTAGAGTACTAGGTAGTTTCACATTAACTCTGATGCCTGGTTTTGATTATTTTAGTACCCACATCTGATTCACACCGCCGCTAGAGTACTAGGTAGTTTCACATAAACTCTGATGCCTGGTTTTAATTATTTTAGAATCCACATTTATTCATACCACCGCCTAGAGTACTAGGTAGTTTCACATTAACTCTGATGCCTGGTTTTAATTATTTTAGAATCCACATTTATTCATACCGCCACTAGAGTACTAAGTAGTTTCACAGTAACTCCGATACCGGGTTTTAATTATTTTAGTATCCACATTTATTCACACCACCACCTAGAGTACTGGGTAGTTTCACAGTAACTCTGACGCCTAGTTTTAATTATTTTAGTATCAATTTGCTAAACATTCTAGAATAACATTTAATTCGAAAGAACAGCTAACTAGAGGAGATCTTCAGTTTACAGAAGAAGGATTAATTGTGAATAATGCTATCTAAAATATATGTAATATTCAAATACAGATTGTAGATCGTGTAAAAAGATATAATATCGACTACACAGATTATTATGTCGACCATCAACAAGGACATAACCAAGGTAAATCAATTTGTTTCTATACAATAATCTATTTACAAATTCCCTATGTGGCCCTGTAATCTGTTCCCTATGTGGCCCTGTAATCTGAGATCCATTTTTACGAGCTGTTCCCATATTTGAGGGACATATGTTATCATTGAAAATGTAACGCTAGCTGAAAGAACACATTTTGTATTTGGCAAAACTTTTAGGAATTTTTTGTCCTCAATGCTCTTCAACTTCGTACTTTATTTGGCCTTTTTAACCTTTTTTGATTCGAGCGTCACTGATGAGTCTTTTGTAGACGAAAAGCGCGTCTGGCTCGAATACAAATTTTCAAACCTGGTATCTATGATGAGTTTATTTATCTGTGTGTGATCTTTACTTTTGTCAAAGTGTCAAGTGTTCATGCACTATTCATAACAGTAGTATATGAAATCAACCTCGAGTTTTAACTGCCGAAATTCTATGATATAACATCATAAAAATTTTAATAATTAAAAATATGTTAATACATGTATATAATTGTAAAGAATTACTGTAGAATTTTGAACGTACCACAAGGTTAAGTGTAATTGTATGAAATAATGTGTATTGCACGTGTTTTTATAACCATTTTGTGGTTTGTCGGACCATATTGAAACATTTCTGGAGTACCTAAGATCTACCCAGTTTTATGGTGGGGGTCAGCATTTTGTTTTCTATGTAATGTTTGATATTATATATATGTATATTTAGAATGCGTTGCTTTTTGCTTATATGTATTTATTTGATTGGAGTCGCTTATCATTTCCAGGCACCTGCTTTTGCGATGTTTTTGTATGCGATTTTTTTCTCTCGGTTTTGTATAATTAAATAACGAATGAATTTTCAAATGCGTATTTGTATATTGCATGCAATCAAATTCAGTGTCCAAATCACGTGTTCATATAATTTTTTCCCGATCATATTGAATTGACCGAATGAATCACGATTCTAAAATGGTGCATGCAATTGATCCTTTTAGCATAATCGATTTCTAATGGCAGTCCAAAATCCCCGCCTATCATCTTGGACGACCATTCTTTACAGAAAAAAATAAACAACAATCAACTATATATCACATATATACAAGTAGAAATACATCTGCAAATTAAGAAAACTGCAACCGCCGATGTTTGCAATTAAGGCTTATGTGATAGAATGTATAAATATTAAAATCAAACAGATATGTATAAAAAAGTAACTTGATTTCCGATGAAAAACCTGATATACAAACAGGAAGGTAAATTGTTTTTATTCTTACAGATGAACCTTATGAAGTCGTTGGTGAGTTCTTATTACACCTTTAGTTCACATACATACAATGCTAAAATAGAAATTGATTGTTGAGTTCTTATTTCACCTTTAGTTCACATACATACAATGCTAAAATAGAAATTGATTGAAGAGTTCTTATAACATCATTAGTTCATTTACATACAATGCTAAAATAGAAATTGATTGGCCGTTTCAAAATCTAATGCGTTCTTTGTATTGTTTACAGAAGCGTTCACCAAAAGGCTGTGATTGGCTAGTATATTTAATGACTCTACTATTCAAAACTGTATACCTCCCTTTTTTGATAACACAGAACCACCTATTATTTTGTTTACATACAACAATGCTCAGCAAAAGTTTATTTTAAATGATAGTCAGAAACATTAGACGTCAGTGTAGAAAATAATACTCATCTAACATGAGACTGTGAATCGTCGAATTTTGGAAATGATCCCTATGTTTATGTTACTACGGGGAACCTCAATATCGTATAAAATCGAGAGGTTAAAATTGTTTTGGAAAGGACCAAAATATCATCTTTCATCCACAATAGATTGGAAACATTGTCTTCGGGTCATAAAAAACGATATTTCATCGAACTGCAAAAATTGGTGTAAACGGAAAATATCCGATAAAAAATATCTTGATTGTTTTTCAAATATATGTACAAGTCAGGAGCCTCTGGCCTTTGTTAGTCTTGTTAGTTTTTTAATTTTAGTTCATTTATATGTTTATATGTTTAGGAGTTTAGTATGACGTCCATTTTCACTGAACTAGTACACATTTTTATTTAGGTGCCAGCTGAGGACCACCTCCGGGTGCGGGATTTTCTCGCTGCGTTGTAGACCCATTGGTGGCCTTCGGCTGTTATCTGCTCTTTTGCCGGGTTGTTGTCTCTTTAACATATTCCCCATTTCCATTCTCAATTTTATGAAAGTTGTGGATATATTACATTTTGTAAGTGACTTAGAAATAGATAAAAGAAAACACACTGCATGTATTACGCCTATTTATAGAATGCATAGAATAAAAAACAAACTTTAATTACTCGCAAAGCGATTTGTGTTTCTACCGGCTGACATTGACTAAACAGCCAACAATGTGGTTGTGGTATAACGAAAATACTACAGGGAAATTTGTAAGAACGAAATTATGAAATCGTCTGCATTCTAGTCCGTGTGCTCCAAAGAGAGTCATATAATAAACAATCTTTTCACAAGCACATCACAGCTTAAGGACTCTTCTTAACATTTGATGCGTTTTAGTTTTAATAATGTGGAGTGGTCAATGTTATCTTTGATGTGTTTTTGTTACTTATAATAGCTAATGGTCAGTGTTATATATGATGCGTTCTAGTAATAATAATAAAGAGTGGCCAATGGTATCTTTGATGTGTATTTGTACTTATAAAAGTGAGTGGTCAGTGTTATCTATGATTGATGCGTTCTAGTACTAATAATACGGAGTGGTCAATGTCATCTATGATGTGTTTTTTTTACATTTAATATTGAGTGCTCCGCGTTATCTATGATGCGTACTAGTACTAAAAATATGTAGTGGTCACTAGTTTTTTTTATTTGTTTTTGTACTTATAGTTGTGAGTGGTCTGTGCTATATATGATGCCTTATAGTACTAAAAATGTGGAGTGGTCAATGGTGATCTTTGATGTTTTTTTGTACTTATAATAGTGAGTGGTCAGTGTTATCTATGATGCGTTCTAGTACTTATACTATAGAGTGGTCAATGGTATCTTTGATGTGCTTTTGTACTTATGATTGTGAGTGGTCAGTGTTATCTATGATACGTTCTAGTACTAATATATAGAGTTGCAAATGGTATCCTTGATGTGTTTTTTTACTTTTAATAGTGAGTGGTTAGTGTTATCTATGATGCGTTCTAATACTAATAGTATGGAGTGGTCAATGGTATCTTTGATCTGTTTTTGTACGTACTTCGAATAGTGAGTGGTCAGTGCTATCTATGATGTGTTCTATTACTTATAATATGGAATGGTCAATGTTATCTTTGATGTGTTTTTGTACTTATAATAGTGTGTGGTCAGTGTTATCTATGATGTGTTCTAGGCCTTATACTATAGAGGGGCAAATGGTATCCTTGAATGGTTTTTTTACTTTTAATAGTGAGTGGTCAATGTTATCTATGATGTGTTCTAGTACAAATAATATGGAGTGGTCAATGGTATGTTTGATGTATTTTTGTAATTACAATAGTGTGTGGTCAGTGCTTTCTATGATGTGTTCTATTACTTATAATATGTAGTGGTCAGTGTTATCTATGATGTGTTCTAGTACTAATACTATAAAGTGGCAAATGGTATCCTTGGTTCGTTTTTTTTACTTTTAATAGTGATAGGTCAATGTTATATATGATGCGTTCTAGTACTAATAATATGGAGTGGTCAATGGTATCTTTGATGCGTTTTTTGTAATTACAATAGTGAGTGGTCAGTGCTATCTATGATGTGTTCTCTTACTTAGAATATGGAGTGGTCAATGGTATCTTTGATGTGTTTTTGTACTCATTACAGTGAGTGGTCAGTGTTATCTAAAATGCGTTCTAGTACTAATAATATGGAGTGGTCAATGTTATATATGATGTGTTTTTTACTTTTAATAGTGAGTGGTCAGTGTTATCTATGATGCGTTTTAGTACTTATAATATGGAGTGGTCAATGACAGCGCCAAATTTTAAGCAATGATCCTTAAAAAGATTTAAGTACGAATAATTTGGAGTGATCAATGACATTTTTGATTCGTTTTGGTAGTAATAATATTTAGTGATCAATGTATTAAGATGGTTTTTAAGTGCTTATGATTTGGAGAAGTCATTAGTAGTGCCAGGAGGATATATAGCGCAAATCGTTTCACGACCCAATGTGGGCGGGTATTGAAAGGTTTACAGAATAGAGAATCATTATTCAAATCTACAGAAAAATTAACAATAAAACATTAAGGATAAAGATGACTGCTTGCTAAAATACAAAGAAGAGAGGATAATAGTGAAACATTACCTAAACAATCGAAAAGAGAAAACTTATTTAAAAACTGAAAAAATAAACAATTCCTACCCTGACAATCATGTTGACTCACAAGTATATATGTCTCACGTCGTCTTCTTTTTTGTGAAGGATGTCATATCTATATGTATGACCGTCTCAATTGAAAACAACGTTCAAACCTATGATTGCGTTGGATAAAAACCGCAATTTTTATACGTGTACATGCAAAACAAATTTCTTGTTAGAGGGGTCTAAATACAGAACAAACAACATTTTCCAAAAGACCAAAAAAGCTAAAAAGTATATTTTAACAAAACGCATTTGACTAACAGGTAGAACAAGAAATGTTCTTAAACCCTGCTGACTGCCATTGGTGATTGCCAAATAAACGGATCAACGATGTAATAAATGGATCTTAATTATAGATTTAATACTAAACAGAAAACAATAAACTTGCGGAGAAGATGGTATACCGCAAATAAAAGGTGCAAAGATTTTTGTACACCATTTCCGGATTTCGACAATTGATGTCTCTTCAGTGATGTTAGGAATCGAAACGGTATTTGGAAAGCCATACTATTTACCTCAATTTAGGATAGACTCTTGAATTTTAAGGAGTCAAAATAGGATGAACGGATCATATAAACCCGAAGGCAAATATAATACAAGCCCAAACGAAAAAATATAACAGTCTAAATTGACAACAACGTTCAAACCTATGATTGTGTTGGATAAAAACCGCAATTTTCTATACGTGTACATGCAAAACAAATTTCTTGTTAGAGGGGTCTAAATACAGAACAAACAACATTTTCCAAAAGACCAAAAAAGTTAAAAAGTATATTTTAACAAAACGCATTTGACTTACAGGTCGAACAACAAATGGTCTTACACCCTGCTGACTGCCAATGGCGATTGCCAAATAAACGGATCACCGATGTAATAAATGGATCTTAATTATAGATTAAATACTAAACAGAAAACAATAAACTTGCGGAAAAGATGGTATACCGCAAACAAAAGGTGCAAAGGTTTTTGTACACCATATCCGGATTTCGACAATTAATGTCTCTTCAGTGATGTTAGGAATCGAAACGGTATTTGGAAAGCCATACAATTTACATTTATTTAGGATAGACTCTTGAATTTTGAGGAGTCAAAATAGATTGAACGGATCATATAAACCCGAGGGCAAATATAATACAAGCCCAAACGAAAAAATATAACAGTCTAAATTGAAAACAACGTTCAAACCTATGATTGCGTTGGATACAAACCGCAATTTTTATACGTGTGCATGCAAAACAAATTTCTTGTTAGAGGGGTCTAAATGTATGTATATATATCCTACATGTATGTATATCCTCCGTTTAATTCCAAGCAAACAATTACAAAAAAGGTTTACCAGAGCATTGTTATGTCTAAGTCTTGACAGCAGAAACACATTAAGGTCCTAAGTTAAGAAAACCCCAACCCTTCAATTGGAACCATAACTTCAAAATGATTAAAGATTCTATTGAGGACTACGCCAGAGAACGGGCTAAATGTGAAGAAATGGAACTAGAAACATTGTAAGAATGGGTTAAAGCAATTAGGTCTATGATAAAACTTCGAGTCCAAAAGTTGAAAAATTGTGTGAATGATCGACCAAAGTCCGTATTCAGAGACAAAGAAGCTGTGAAATGTCTATTATCTCTTTACGATGAATTTGTTGTTGTTCCTGCGAACAAAGCTTCACTTAATATTGATTTTGTTTGTTAATCGTACTACTACGAGTACTTTTAAAAGACTTTGAAATAAATGAGCACTCAGGTAATACCACATACAAAAACATATCATTTGACAAGGATGAGACAGCAAATCTGAGGACTTACCTTGTTTGTATTGAATACGTAAGCTTTACAATATTCCGTACAAACAACGGTACATTGTCAGCTCATCTGCATGTTGTACGAAGGAATTGTCCATTGGATTGACAAAAATTTTGTCCGCAGCGAAAGAAGGTCTTCAGAAATACTGTGAAACTGTATACTCGAGTAGTGGTATTAACCATATAAGGATATAACAAAATTCCAAAGAACCTCTGGATACTTTTGAATATCGATCTTTCTTTTAAATTAATTTTATCAAAACCCTTTGTACCTCCATTCCCCATCTGAAATTGAAAAATCTTCTAAAGGAAATAATCCACAATTCTTTTCAATTTACAAATGGTATCATACGCTATAAATTTATTGCTTTAAGATACCATATGGCATATTTTGTTAATAGTGAACAAAAAGGTAAAACATGTCAAAACGTGGAACAAGTGATCAGTATGCTGGAGTTTCTTATTGTTGAATTTGGAGGTAGAAATTTTCAACGAATTGTGTGCCTCTCCTTGCCGACAATTTCTTATCTTTATATGAGTTGGAGTTGTTTCAGACACATGTCAAAAACAAGAAGATCAAAGAAGCCAGATCATTTAATTTCACATGAAGATATATTGATGATGTTCTTTCCATCAACAATCCAAACTTTTCTGATTGGGTTCCATATTAATATATCTTCCAGAACTAGAAATTAAGGAAACAACAGAAACGGTTTCTCCAACCTCATTTAAGTCTTATACCTCAAATTTGATATAAGGGGTCATCTCAGTACCAGAGTATGACAAACAAGACGAATGAATTTTGAAATTATAAATTTTTGCCACCTTAGCAGCAATATACCAACTTTACCTGCATATGGGATATACATTTTCTTACTCATTCGGTATTCAAGAGCTTGCAGCTCTACTCAGACTTTATAAAATGTCACAAGTGTCTGAGCAGAAAGTTTATGAACCACGGTTATGTCAAAGAATGTCTCGTCCTTTTTCTAAAAAAGTTAATCGATACCAAGACCTTGTTCATGAATGTTTCGTGTGAACTTCACAAATAATACATATATTCTTGAAGTATAGATTCTAGGTACTGACGTTGTTAATCAACATTTTTTTGTCTTTGTTGACATAGTTTGTTCAGTGTTTAATATTATAACACAACAATGACTGCTGTATCCCAATTTTTGACATTTTTATCTAGTATGTCTGTTTGTCTTGCTCACTCATTGTTGTCAATATAGTGTAATTTTATGCGACTGACATACAAGTGAGAGGTTTAGCTAGCTACAAACCCAGGTTTAATCCACCATTTTTTACATAAGGAAATGCCTGTACCAAGTCAGGATTATGGCAGTTGTTTTCCATTCGTTTGATGTGTTTGTGCTATTGACTTTGCTATTGAATAAGAAACTTTCCGTTTCGAATTTTCATTGGAGATCGGTATTTTTGTTATTTTACTTTTATATCATCAATGATGAATTTTATATAAACACGGATAACATGATCATAAGAACTGGCACATACAAAAATAGCCAGGAAGGTAGAAATTTGAAAACATTATATATTACAATTTCAATTAAAGAAAGAAAAGAAAAATATAAAACTGATAGAACAATTGTCTACTTTTAGAAATAGGACTACCTGGACCACCTGGACCACCTGGACCAGAAGGTAAGACATCAATATGATAGATCTGAAATAGATTTTATGTATAACGTGATTCAAATTATATATCTCGGATTAGAATTAACTCTTAGAAATTATACTGAACATTTTTTTTAAAATCAGCCGTGTCCAACTTTTGGAAGATCATCGGAGAAAATCGTTTGCTTAATGAATATTGAGTTATACATGTAGCAAAATAACATACAATTTCGATTGATGTTTTGCACATATTTGTTATCTTCACTTTTTTCAATGATGCATGAAAGTATTCAAAGATATTTCAAGAAAGACAAAAAATATAGAAATAAAACAAACAACCGGTATTTCCTTTTATTCATAGCTAGTCAATTGTGCTCATTTCATTCATATCTTATAGGAAAAAGAGGATATACTGGACGAACAGGACCTCGCGGACCCGAGGGATATAGAGGAACTCCTGGATCTCGAGGGTTAACTGGAAGTCACGGTCCTAGAGGTTTAATGGGATTTTCTGGACCAACTGGACATTCTGGACCATCTGGACCTGTTGGATTACCTGGACCAATGGGAAATATTGGGCATCCTGGTGTACCTGGACCTCCAGGTGCAGCTGGATCTGTTGGACCAACTGGACCAAAAGGAATGAATGGACAAACAGGACCTTCTGGGCCAGCAGGACCCAAAGGACCACTTGGAAATTCTGGTCCAAAAGGCATGACTGGGGAAACAGGACCTCCTGGATCTCAAGGATTAGCTGGAAATCCCGGTCCTAGAGGTTTAATGGGATTTTCAGGACCAACTGGACATTCTGGACCATCTGGACCTATTGGATTACCTGGACCAATGGGAAATATTGGGCATCCTGGTGTACCTGGACCTCCAGGTGCAGCTGGATCTGTTGGACCAACTGGACCAAAAGGAATGAATGGACAAACAGGACCTTCTGGACCAGCAGGACCCAAAGGACCACTTGGAAATTCTGGTCCAAAAGGCATGACTGGGGAAACAGGACCTCCTGGATCTCAAGGATTAGCTGGAAATCCCGGTCCTAGAGGTTTAATGGGATTTTCAGGACCAACTGGACATTCTGGACCATCTGGACCTATTGGATTACCTGGACCAATGGGAAATATTGGGCATCCTGGTGTACCTGGACCTCCAGGTGCAGCTGGATCTGTTGGACCAACTGGACCAAAAGGAATGAATGGACAAACAGGACCTTCTGGGCCAACAGGACCTCAAGGACAACGTGGAAATTCTGGTCCCAAGGGCATGACTGGGGACACAGGACCTTCTGGGCCGCCTGGACTTGTTGGACCTGCTGGTCCTAGCGGTCCGTCAGGGCCTAAAGGAATGCGAGGTAAGCAAGGTGATACTGGATCTACTGGATCTTCTGGACTAAATGGTCCTCCTGGACCAACTGGAACATCTGGTCCGACCGGACCAAGTGGACCTTCAGGACCTTCGGGACCACCTGGGCCAACTGGGCTATCTGGACCATCTGGTCCGAGTGGACCATCTGGACTAAAAGGAGAAACGGGACCTTCTGGACCACAAGGAGAAACGGGACCTTCTGGGCCGACTGGTCCCATAGGACCACAAGGAGAAATTGGACGCCCTGGACCATCCGGACCACCTGGAAGTACTGTCCCAGCCGGACCACCTGAAAGTACGGGCCCTGGAGGACCACCTGGAAGTAATTCCCCTGGAGGACCACCTGGAAGTAGTTCCCCTGGAGGACCACCTGGAAGTAGTTCCCCTGGAGGACCACCTGGAAATACTGGCCCTGCAGGACCACCTGGAAGTACACCACCTGGAGGACCACCTGGAAATACTGGCCCTGGAGGACCACCTGGAAGTAATTCCCCTGGAGGACCACCTGGAAGTACTGGCCCTGGAGGACCACCTGGAAGTAATTCCCCTGGAGGAACACCTGGAAGTAGTTCCCCTGGAGGACCACCTGGAAGTAGTTCCCCTGGAGGACCACCTGGAAGTAGTTCCCCTGGAGGACCACCTGGAAGTAGTTCCCCTGGAGGACCACCTGGAAGTAGTTCCCCTGGAGGACCACCTGGAAATACTGGCCCTGCAGGACCACCTGGAAGTACACCACCTGGAGGACCACCTGGAAGTACTGGCCCTGGAGGACCACCTGGAAGTAGTTCCCCTGGAGGACCACCTGGAAGTAGTTCCCCTGGAGGACCACCTGGAAGTACTGGCCCTGCAGGACCACCAGGAAGTAGCTCCCCTGGAGGACCACCTGGCAATACTGGCCCTGCAGGACCACCTGGAAGTACACCCCCTGGAGGACCACCTGGAAGTACTGGCCCTGGAGGACCACCTGGAAGTAATTCCCCTGCAGGACCACCTGGAAGTACTGGCCCTGGAGGACCACCTGGAAGTAATTCCCCTGGAGGAACACCTGGAAGTAGTTCCCCTGGAGGACCACCTGGAAGTAGTTCCCCTGGAGGACCACCTGGAAGTAGTTCCCCTGGAGGACCACCTGGAAGTAGTTCCCCTGGAGGACCACCTGGAAGTAGTTCCCCTGGAGGACCACCTGGAAGTAGTTCCCCTGGAGGACCACCTGGAAGTACACCACCTGGAGGACCACCTGGAAGTACTGGCCCTGGAGGACCACCTGGAAGTAATTCCCCTGGAGGACCACCTGGAAATACTGGCCCTGCAGGACCACCTGGAAGTACTGGCCCTGGAGGACCACCTGGAAGTACTGGGCCTGGAGGACCACCTGGAAGTACTGGCCCTGGAGGACCACCTGGAAGTAATTCCCCTGGAGGACCACCTGGAAGTAATTCCCCTGGAGGACCACCTGGAAGTAATTCCCCTGGAGGAACACCTGGAAGTAGTTCCCCTGGAGGACCACCTGGAAGTAGTTCCCCTGGAGGACCACCTGGAAGTAGTTCCCCTGGAGGACCACCTGGAAGTAGTTCCCCTGGAGGACCACCTGGAAGTAGTTCCCCTGGAGGACCACCTGGAAGTAGTTCCCCTGGAGGACCACCTGGAAATACTGGCCCTGCAGGACCACCTGGAAGTACACCACCTGGAGGACCACCTGGAAGTACACCACCTGGAGGACCACCTGGAAGTACTGGCCCTGGAGGACCACCTGGAAGTAGTTCCCCTGGAGGACCACCTGGAAGTAGTTCCCCTGGAGGACCACCTGGAAGTAGTTCCCCTGGAGGACCACCTGGAAGTACTGGCCCTGCAGGACCACCAGGAAGTAGCTCCCCTGGAGGACCACCTGGCAATACTGGCCCTGCAGGACCACCTGGAAGTACACCCCCTGGAGGACCACCTGGAAGTACTGGCCCTGGAGGACCACCTGGAAGTAGTTCCCCTGGAGGACCACCTGGAAATACTGGCCCTGCAGGACCACCTGGAAGTACACCACCTGGAGGACCACCTGGAAGTACTGGCCCTGGAGGACCACCTGGAAGTAATTCCCCTGGAGGACCACCTGGAAGTAATTCCCCTGGAGGAACACCTGGAAGTAGTTCCCCTGGAGGACCACCTGGAAGTAGTTCCCCTGGAGGACCACCTGGAAGTAGTTCCCCTGGAGGACCACCTGGAAGTAGTTCCCCTGGAGGACCACCTGGAAGTACACCACCTGGAGGACCACCTGGAAGTACTGGCCCTGGAGAACCACCTGGAAGTAATTCCCCTGGAGGACCACCTGGAAATACTGGCCCTGCAGGACCACCTGGAAGTACTGGTCCTGGAGGACCACCTGGAAGTACTGGCCCTGGAGGACCACCTGGAAGTACTGGATCTGGAGGACCACCTGGAAGTAATTCCCCTGGAGGACCACCTGGAAGTAATTCCCCTGGAGGACCACCTGGAAGTACTGGCCCTGGAGGACCACCTGGAAGTAATTCCCCTGGAGGAACACCTGGAAGTAGTTCCCCTGGAGGACCACCTGGAAGTAGTTCCCCTGGAGGACCACCTGGAAGTACTGGCCCTGCAGGACCACCAGGAAGTAGCTCCCCTGGAGGACCACCTGGCAATACTGGCCCTGCAGGACCACCTGGAAGTACACCCCCTGGAGGACCACCTGGAAGTACTGGCCCTGGAGGACCACCTGGAAGTAATTCCCCTGGAGGACCACCTGGAAGTACTGGCCCTGGAGGACCACCTGGAAGTAATTCCCCTGGAGGAACACCTGGAAGTAGTTCCCCTGGAGGACCACCTGGAAGTAGTTCCCCTGGAGGACCACCTGGAAGTAGTTCCCCTGGAGGACCACCTGGAAGTAGTTCCCCTGGAGGACCACCTGGAAGTAGTTCCCCTGGAGGACCACCTGGAAGTAGTTCCCCTGGAGGACCACCTGGAAGTACACCACCTGGAGGACCACCTGGAAGTACTGGCCCTGGAGGACCACCTGGAAGTAATTCCCCTGGAGGACCACCTGGAAATACTGGCCCTGCAGGACCACCTGGAAGTACTGGCCCTGGAGGACCACCTGGAAGTACTGGGCCTGGAGGACCACCTGGAAGTACTGGCCCTGGAGGACCACCTGGAAGTAATTCCCCTGGAGGACCACCTGGAAGTAATTCCCCTGGAGGACCACCTGGAAGTAATTCCCCTGGAGGAACACCTGGAAGTAGTTCCCCTGGAGGACCACCTGGAAGTAGTTCCCCTGGAGGACCACCTGGAAGTAGTTCCCCTGGAGGACCACCTGGAAGTAGTTCCCCTGGAGGACCACCTGGAAGTAGTTCCCCTGGAGGACCACCTGGAAGTAGTTCCCCTGGAGGACCACCTGGAAGTAGTTCCCCTGGAGGACCACCTGGAAATACTGGCCCTGCAGGACCACCTGGAAGTACACCACCTGGAGGACCACCTGGAAGTACACCACCTGGAGGACCACCTGGAAGTACTGGCCCTGGAGGACCACCTGGAAGTAGTTCCCCTGGAGGACCACCTGGAAGTAGTTCCCCTGGAGGACCACCTGGAAGTAGTTCCCCTGGAGGACCACCTGGAAGTACTGGCCCTGCAGGACCACCAGGAAGTAGCTCCCCTGGAGGACCACCTGGCAATACTGGCCCTGCAGGACCACCTGGAAGTACACCCCCTGGAGGACCACCTGGAAGTACTGGCCCTGGAGGACCACCTGGAAGTAGTTCCCCTGGAGGACCACCTGGAAATACTGGCCCTGCAGGACCACCTGGAAGTACACCACCTGGAGGACCACCTGGAAGTACTGGCCCTGGAGGACCACCTGGAAGTAATTCCCCTGGAGGACCACCTGGAAGTAATTCCCCTGGAGGAACACCTGGAAGTAGTTCCCCTGGAGGACCACCTGGAAGTAGTTCCCCTGGAGGACCACCTGGAAGTAGTTCCCCTGGAGGACCACCTGGAAGTAGTTCCCCTGGAGGACCACCTGGAAGTACACCACCTGGAGGACCACCTGGAAGTACTGGCCCTGGAGAACCACCTGGAAGTAATTCCCCTGGAGGACCACCTGGAAATACTGGCCCTGCAGGACCACCTGGAAGTACTGGTCCTGGAGGACCACCTGGAAGTACTGGCCCTGGAGGACCACCTGGAAGTACTGGATCTGGAGGACCACCTGGAAGTAATTCCCCTGGAGGACCACCTGGAAGTAATTCCCCTGGAGGACCACCTGGAAGTACTGGCCCTGGAGGACCACCTGGAAGTAATTCCCCTGGAGGAACACCTGGAAGTAGTTCCCCTGGAGGACCACCTGGAAGTAGTTCCCCTGGAGGACCACCTGGAAGTAGTTCCCCTGGAGGACCACCTGGAAGTAGTTCCCCTGGAGGACCACCTGGAAGTACACCACCTGGAGGACCACCTGGAAGTACACCACCTGGAGGACCACCTGGAAGTACTGGCCCTGGAGGACCACCTGGAAGTAATTCCCCTGGAGGACCACCTGGAAATACTGGCCCTGCAGGACCACCTGGAAGTACTGGGCCTGGAGGACCACCTGGAAGTACTGGCCCTGGAGGACCACCTGGAAGTAATTCCCCTGGAGGACCACCTGGAAGTAATTCCCCTGGAGGACCACCTGGAAGTAATTCCCCTGGAGGAACACCTGGAAGTAGTTCCCCTGGAGGACCACCTGGAAGTAGTTCCCCTGGAGGACCACCTGGAAGTAGTTCCCCTGGAGGACCACCTGGAAGTAGTTCCCCTGGAGGACCACCTGGAAGTAGTTCCCCTGGAGGACCACCTGGAAGTAGTTCCCCTGGAGGACCACCTGGAAGTAGTTCCCCTGGAGGACCACCTGGAAATACTGGCCCTGCAGGACCACCTGGAAGTACACCACCTGGAGGACCACCTGGAAGTACTGGCCCTGGAGGACCACCTGGAAGTAGTTCCCCTGGAGGACCACCTGGAAGTAGTTCCCCTGGAGGACCACCTGGAAGTACTGGCCCTGCAGGACCACCAGGAAGTAGCTCCCCTGGAGAACCACCTGGCAATACTGGCCCTGCAGGACCACCTGGAAGTACTGGCCCTGGAGGACCACCTGGAAGTACTGGCCCTGGAGGACCACCTGGAAGTAGTTCCCCTGGAGGACCACCTGGAAATACTGGCCCTGCAGGATCACCTGGAAGTACACCACCTGGAGGACCACCTGGAAGTACTGGCCCTGGAGGACCACCTGGAAGTACTGGCCCTGGAATACCACCTGGAAGTAATTCCCCTGGAGGACCACCTGGAAGTACTGGCCCTGGAGGACCACCTGGAAGTAATTCCCCTGGAGGAACACCTGGAAGTAGTTCCCCTGGAGGACCACCTGGAAGTAGTTCCCCTGGAGGACCACCTGGAAGTAATTCCCCTGGAGGACCACCTGGAAGTAGTTCCCCTGGAGGACCACCTGGAAGTAGTTCCCCTGGAGGACCACCTGGAAATACTGGCCCTGCAGGACCACCTGGAAGTACACCACCTGGAGGACCACCTGGAAGTACTGGCCCTGGAGGACCACCTGGAAGTACTGGCCCTGGAGGACCACCTGGAAGTAATTCCCCTGGAGGAACACCTGGAAGTAGTTCCCCTGGAGGACCACCTGGAAGTAGTTTCCCTGGAGGACCACCTGGAAGTAGTTCCCCTGGAGGACCACCTGGAAGTACTTGCCCTTCAGGACCGCCTGGACCTTCTGCCCCTGGAGGACCACCTTGAAGTATTGGTAAGAGAGGTTACAATACTTATTTGTATTTGAATATTTTAATGCTGAATGCACAAGAACTCTGTAAATAGAATTCATTGTATAAAAAATGTGATACTAGTAATCATATGGTAAACTGAAATAAATGTCTGTTTTCAAAACCGTAATGCTATACAATTGATCATTAGGTCCAAACAAATACGGAAGAACTTCGTATAGGATATCAATTCAATAGTGAAAACTTTTACGAACGTGTAATGATACAGTTCTTCCTTGTTTTAACATAATTTTGTTTTTGTTTAAACAGATGGCCCTACTAAACCTCCTGGAGTTGGATCTTAAACAAATGCTCCTGGATTATGTGTGTTTGTGTGCGCTAGACTATCAATCTTTGAAGAAAGTTTGCAGACAGTATCAATTAAAGTAATATCGTATAAAAAAGCAAATCTTTATTTTTATTGATTACTATCCCGTTTCCCCACTTATACTGATACTAGTTGTATCCGGTCCACAATTTAAAGAATGGGCTCCTTCAGAACTTGGTTGCCTGTCTCATGCTTATACACATTGTGATTGACTGTACGTACAAAAGCATAGACTATTGATTCCATACGAAACAATACCACTACATAGAGCTAGAATACCTTACACGACAAGTATACCAGTAGAAAAAAAAAAACAGATGACAGGATAGGGGTGATGGAGTAGCGCTGGTCAAGACAAAAAAAAAAACAAAAACAAAAACAAAAAAAAAACAAAAAAAAAACAAGAAGATGAAAGAAATGAAGGCAAAACTAGTATACTGCTGTTCAGTAGTAACAATTCGACTAAGCAAAAACAACTCCATGTAACAAACTTTAAAAAAAGAGGGAAACAGAAACACTGAACTACAACAAAAGCAAACGCAAACATACACAGAAACGGGCTTCAGATAACAACTGCCTTAATCCTGACTTGGTACAGGACACTTTAAGAAAATATGGTAAGTTGAACCTGGTTTGATGGCTAGCCAAACCTCCCGCGTATATGGCAATGTTAAAAACTTACAGCTAAAATGACAACACTACGTGACAGGAACACAGTACAAATACACGCCAGAACACTCCTCAAACAGATATACATAAATAAATAATATAATAGTACATTACAACATGTTAACCACAGAATAACAACGGAAACCTCCCATGAATTTACGACGGCACACCAGGACACCACAAACGAAATATAAACTGCGCGTCACATGAATGGATCAACATCACAAAAATTGAGAAGCTTGATCATTTAATATCAAATACAGATACCTTGATGATATTCTTTCCATTTACAATTCGAACGTTTCTAATTGGGTCCTATTAATGTATACTACTGAACTAGAGCATAAAGGAACCGCAGACTTAAACACGTCGAGAGCTATATCTCAATAAGAGACCAATAAGAGACCAACAAAGTATATATAAATCAAAGTAAGGAAAACTTTGCAATAAAACGGTAATTTCTGACATTATCAAAAAGGTAATGAAATCCAAACATAAAACTGGTAGCAGAAAACTGTATAAAATGTAGCATTCATAATTTCAGAAACATAATTAAGAGATAAAGTCCTGTAGGAAATAGGTTAAACGAATCGATAAAGTGTTATTGTTCGACAGTCTTCTAAAGCTAGTTTGAAAAAGAGCGACAAAAGATACCACAAGGACATTCAAACTCGTTAGTGGAAGACAAACTGACAATGGCATGACAAAAAAACAAAAAACGACCAAATACACACAGCAGTATACAAACCACAACATAGAAAACTAAGACACAGCAACACAACCGACCACCCCCCCCCCCCCCCCCCCGGCCAAGATGTTAATATTTACAAATAAAAGTACGCAATGAGTTAGTTCAAGACACACGTTCCAATCAGATTTAATGTATGAATGTTAATAAAACAGCCTGAGAAAAGCATGACCTTGTGCAATGCCAAAACATAAGAACATATTTCAGACAGGCTGTAGTATCATAAGTCTTCATTACTGTTTTGCAAAAACTGTAATAACAGAAAAACCGAATCCATAAAAACTGACAAACCTAAAAGCTCTTCTATACAAACAAACGAAACGACTAGAAATGACTTAACATTAAAAAATAAGTTTATTCAAAGGATAGAAAATTTACATTTATCGCAATCTAAATATATAAGCTCTATAAACAACATCGCCGAAAAAATAAGGTATAGACATGCCGCTTGAAATAACTAAAAAAAAAAAAAACAAAACAAACAAACAAAAACAAAACAGTTAGTCAAACTTCTTAACCATTTTTTTTTAATCTATGAAAGATATAAGTAAAAGTAAAGAGAGGCGGAAGCTGCAAAAGGGATATTCAATGTGTGGTTACGAAATAAATGACTTAATACTTTACCAGTATTCCAAAGATTACGTTTAGTAATATATAAAATGTCACTACAGACATGGAAATAGAGAACTAGTTAAGGAATATACACAACGTAAGAAGGGACAAAAGAACAATCGCTGTCCAAAAACTCTAAATTAACAATTTGGAATGAAAGTCCGTCTATTTTTTTGACAATGTCTGTATACAGTTTCCTTTGTCAAAAGCGTATATCAAAATATAGAAGAGGACAATTACTACTGTTTTCATTTGATGTATGTAAAGTATAAGTTCCCTTTGGTAAATGTAATACGTATGATAAGATAATTATTAATTATATAAGTAGGCTAACGGTTTGTGTCTTTTTAGATTTTGATTATTAACAATAGAGGAACACGTCTGCTATTAAAGTGACGCAATTGGAACACATAGAAATACATCATTTAACAATGCAGGAACAAGTCTGCTATAAAAGGGACGCAATTGGAACACATAGAAATACATCATTCAATATTGCAGGAACAAGTCTGCTATTAAAAGGACGCAAATGGAACACATAGAAATACATCATTTAACATTGCAGGAACAAGTATGCTTTTAAAGTGACGCAATTGGAACACATAGAAATACATCATTTTACAATGCAGGAACAAGTCTGCTATTAAAATGACGCAATTGGAACACATAGAAATACATCATTTTACAATGCAGGAACAAGTCTGCTATGAAAGTGACGCAATTGGAACACATAGAAATACATCATTTAATCATGTACAACTTTCTCTCTTTTTTTTTGCAATAAATGAAGGCGACGGTAGTCTACCGATGATGTTATCTCGTAAATCGACTGTTTTGTTGTTTTCGTAAATCGAAGACTTGGAGTAAATTTAAAAATGGTAATAATGACATATGTGAAACATAAAGACTAAATTATTATAAGCAACTGAAGAGTAACATTTTACAGATATGTATGAATCTCATAAATGTTTGGAACCGAGTTAAATTGAGCATGGTAATGCTTATAAAAATGATAAATCTAATTTTTCCTGATGACAACATTAACCATTGTTTGGCTAAATTCAATTTAAAAGGACAGTGGATACGCCAAGCAAAGGAATGATCTGTATTCTCTGTTTAAGATATTGATATAAAACGAAACTCAATTTAACACATATAAAGACACATTCAACTTTTCGCTGTCAGTTGAAAAGAATTAAAAAAACAATATGCATATACTGGCAAGGGACATCTTGCAATTAGAGGATTGAATAAAAAGTCTTTGAAAATGAGGAATTCGCATGTTACATTTGATTATTCAAGAAATGTCGCCCATAAAGCTTGTCGTGCTAGATAAATAAAGGCAACAGTAAAATACCGCTGTTCAATAGTCATAATTTGATTAAGCAAACACAAATCCGGGTAACAAACTAAAATTGAGCGAAACACATCAATTATAATTCTAGGTTTGATATAACATTTCAAAGGGATTTTTGTTAAGCCAACCGGACACGTTTATACAACACAACGCATCATAAACAGTTATTTGGTTTGTATAGTGATTAATAAAGGCAACAATAGTATACCGCTATTCGAAATTCATAAATCGATTGGGAAAAAAAAAATCCGGGTTACAAACTAAAACTGAGGGAAACACAATGTTGACTGCTGTACCCCAATTTTAGACGTTTTTACCTTTATGTCTGTTTGTTTTGCTCACACATTGTTGTCAATATAATGGAATTCTATGTGACTGTCATACAAGTGCGAGATTTAGCTAGCTATAAAACCAGGTTTAATCCACCATTTTCTACAGAAGGTTATGCCTGTACCAAGTCGGGGATATGACAGTGGTTTCCCGTTCGTAAGATATTTTAGAGCTTTTGATTTTGCCATTTTATAAAACACTTTCCGTTTTGAATTTCTCTTTGAGTTCGGTATATTTGTTATTTTACTTTATACAATACAAGGCATCCTAAACAATTTAATTTCAACCAATGACGTGACATTATTTTCATTTTGGGGTACGAACAATAAAATAACCCATAATCCTTAAGATTCTTAAATG